CTTCATCTTCTCATCATATTTCTAGCCTCTTGAACTCCAAATTCGTCCATCCATGTTGGCCCATATACAAGCTATCCACATAGTGCCCAAAACTGCTCCAAAATGCACCAAAATGCACTTTCTTGGTACTTTAACCCTTTGGACCTACAAACACACGAAAATGAGTTGAAATACGACATTAACTAAGAAATAATAGCACAAATGCACAAGAATAAGCTAGCTAAGTCGCCTAAATATGCTCCTATAAAAAACAAAAGATAAATTACACCTAAAAACGTTCCAACACTCCAACTTGCATGCACAAACGTCCAAAGCTTCTTCTTCTTCTCTTTTTCCTTGCAAAGTTGCGGCACAAGAGTCTAGGGGTGATTTTGGATGGACTTCTGGGTTATGAATGGGTTTAGGTTGGTAGGGTGGTGCGGCAAAGGTTGGGGATGGTGTATGGATGTTTGGGTGAGGGTATGAAAGTGTATGAATGGTGGAAGAAAGGTTGAAAGCTGCGGCAAAGGTTGGGAGAAAGGATGAAGGATGGCAGATTGTGTGGGTGAATGATTAGGGTTGAATAAGGGGTGCGGCTTTGGTATTTATTTGAGAGAAAGAATCCTAAGGTTTATTACATAGTTTAGGAAAGGATTCAACCACAAATCCATAAGGAAAAGGAGATATGAAATCAGAAATCAAAGGGAAAAGGGAAGGTAACTTGCGTCATAACTTGTATGAAAAAGAATGTGATTTAATGCTGAATTTAAGCAAGGATTTGGGATAGAAAAGGTATGTAAGGAATGTGGTTTTATGACATAGAATAGGAAATAAGGACTTCCCTTGCACGGCAAGGAAGGGAAACACTATGGAATGCACAACAAGGGTACTTAGGTTGCAAGGAAGGCTTGGTTTGTGTCCTAAAATGCATAGGAGTCCTCAATGTTGCTGAAACATAAGGTCTTTTAGGATTAGGAAGGGTTAAACCAAAATAGGAAACCTTGGCTTAACTTTCCTACTTCAAGTAGGAAACTTTCTTTGACTAGGATTCCTCCTTTGATTAGGAATCCTCTTGTGATTAGGAATCCTCTTGTGATTAGGAATCCTCTTATGATTAGGAATCCTAACACCTTTAGATCTTCAAATTCGTCCATTCCTTTTGCTCCAAACATATGCTATCCATTCCAAGTCCAATTTTAATCCAAAATGCACCTTTTTGCTTCCTTAGCCATATGAACCTAAAAACACACGAAAATAGCTTAAACTACTAAAATAACTATGAGCTAACAACATAAATGTACGAAAACAAGCCAAATAAGTCGCCTAAATTTGCTCCTATCACTTAGGAAGCAAAAAGGTGCATTTTGGAGCATTTTGGAGCAAAATTGGACTTCGAATGGATAGCATATGCTTGGAGTAAAAGGAATGGACGAAATTGAAGATCTAAAGGTGTTAGGATTCCTAATCACAAGAGGATTCCTAATCACAAGAAGGATTCCTAATCAAAGAAGAACTCCTAATCACAAGAGGATTCCTAATCAAAAGAGGAATCCTAGTCAAAGAAGGTTTCCTACTTGAAGTAGGAAAGTTAAGCCAAGGTTTCCTATTTTGATTTAACCTTTCCTAATCCTAAAAGACCTTATGTTTCAGCAACATTGAAGACTCCTATGCATTTTAGGACACAAACCAAGCCTTCCTTGCAACCTAATTGCCCTTGCCGTGCATTCCATAGAGTTCCCCTTCCTTACCGTGCAAGGGAAGTCCTTATTTCCTATTCTATGTCATAAAACCACATTCCTTTTCACCCCATTCTCAGCCGCACCTTACATACCTTTTCTATCCCAAATCCTTGCCTAAATTAAGCATTAAATCACATTCCCTTTCCCTTGGATTTTCTGATTTTATATCTCCTTTTCCTTATGGATTTGGGGGTCCAATCCTTTCCTAAACTATGTAATAAACCTTAGGATTCTTTCTCTCAAATAAATACAAAAGCCGCACCCTTATTCTACCCTAATCATTCACCCACACAATCTGCCATCCTTCATCCTGTCTCCCAACCTTTGCCGCAGCTTTCAACCTTTCTTCCACCATTCATACACTTTCATACCTTCACCCAAACACCCATACATCTCCTTAACCTTTGCCGCACCACCCTACCAACCTAAATCCATTCACAACCCAGAAATCCATCCAAAATCACCTTTAGACTCTTGTGCCGCAGCTTTGCAAGGAAGAAGAAGATAAGAAGAAGCCTTGGACGTTTGTGCATTCAAGTTGGAGTGTTGGAACGTTTTTAGGTGTAATCTGTCTTTTGTTTTCAATGTTTAATTCAATTTTCCTTTGCTTTGTTGTGAACATGAGAGGCTAAACTTGTTTTAGCTAGGGGAGGCTTTGAAGCCATGATTATATTTATGATATGAATTGATTAAGTCCAGTTGTGATTTCATAAATTGTGAATGCAATTTACTTAACCGTTTGATGGATAACTTATTCTTGTATGTTGATTAGGGAGACCTACTTAATTTGCATGCTTGAATTTGGTGGTAGAATATAAGGGAGTTTCACATAATCGTCACAAACTTATATTCACAAGTAGTGGAAGTTGCTAGTCACAATCGTGTTAAGTGAATCCTTGGCAGGAATCTCATGCATTTCATAGTGATGAATGCCTTGTCAATGCTTATGATTTTCATAGAACTTAATGACTTTTGATATGTATCTTTGTCATGCATTTCATATAGGGAACTTAAGAAAGATAATTTGGTTGTAATGCGTATTCATTCAATTCAATGAAATAAGGAAAATCTGATAGTTGGTTGTGCGATGCAATTAACTTGGGGCATTGTCATTCATGGTTTAAAGGAATAATGACTGGAAATCAATTTGTATGCATATGTGTCATGTGTGGAGATGAACCCTCTAGCTAGCCATTCACCCATATTTCACCCAATTTCGTCCAAATTGTTTAGAGTCTTTAAATCTGTTTGTTTTTACTTTAATTTCGTCCAAATCAATCTCCCCTTTAATTAAGTGTGTTAGATTAGTTAGAAACACGTTCAAATCTGTCCAATTTAGTGTTTTGAGTCTTACTAGTCTAAAATTCGTCCAAATAACTTCTTAGAGTCTGTTTCGAGTCAATTTAACTTAGTTTGTGTGTTTTGAGTCTATTTAGCTTGTTTTGAGTTGTTAGAGTCTAGTTTTCTCTTTTTGAGTCTAGTTTAGTGTTTTAGAGTTTAATTTGAGTAGATTCGCATCCCTTTTAATCCCCGGCCTAAAACGATCCCTACTTTCATATACTACAATCATAGGGTTTTAATTTGAGTGTTAGAATATTTCACATCAGTAAAGGATATGCGGCAGCACCTAGGGAGAGAGGGAAAGTGACTTCCTTGCACGGCAAGGAAAGGGAAAGAAGGGAAAGGTGCGGCGTCCCTCTTTGACTAAGATTAGGGCTTCTAGAACTTATATTTAAGTGTCCTAAATTAATTAGGAACCCCCCCAACAGCTGGAATTTAAGTAGGAAAAGATTAGGATTGACTAAGTCAAAATAAGGAAGCTTGACTCATGTTTCCTTCTTTGTAGCTGATTCATTTTCTTCCAAGTCTTGAATTAATTTCTTCCATCTCTTTAGCATATTCCTAACCTTTCTTGAACTTCAGTTTCATCCATCCACCTTGCTCCATGCATGTGCTATTCATTCCATGCAGAAAACTGCTCCAAAATGCACCAAAATGCACTTTCTTGCCACTTTAGCCCTTTAGACCTACAAACACACGAAAATAACTTAAAATACTAAAATAACTAGGAACTAACAACATAAATGCAAGAAAACAAGCTAACTAAGTCGCATAAATATGCTCCTATCAACCAACACCATCATCATTGTTACCAATCTCACCTCTATAAATGGGTCTTAATGGGTATCCATTAACAACCCAATGAATTGATTTGCCACCTCTAACAGCAACTATGTCTTACTAGCCAATTTGGAGCATAAGGTTCTCGTTGACAATGGGGTGGTACATCCCAAAAAGGTACCCTTTGTTGGGTCAGGGCCAATGCCACTCAATTCGACAACTTTGATATTGATGAGAAGGCTAGATGTGGCTCGAAAAATGTGGCTACGGACGTTGAGCTATCAAAGAGGATGAAGTTTGAGACAAATGATATTGTGAAAATTAAGAGAGAAGATTGGAGAGTATGACTGCATATTTTTGGCAGCTTTGGTGAGGGTGAATAAGAATATAAGGTAAAGATTCTTAAGCATATTAGGAATTATATGAAAGATGGAAGCGTTTTGTTTGTGAGGAGTGCCAAAAGAGCTAGAGCATTTTTGTACCCAGTTGTTGAGGACCATGACTTGCCTGCTTTGAGCTTCTTACAATCTTCCATCCAAATCTCCGTTGTTCTCGTGCACACGATCGTCTACGGTAATTGTTTCTATTTTTTCTTTTTATTGTTAAGCTTATATGTATGATGTATCTCTAAAGTGTGATGTTTTTGTTTTTTTTTCATATTTGTCAATAAATTGAGTGTATACTTCCTCTTGTTCTATTGGTTTCTGCAACTAAGGGCGTGGTATCATATAAATGAGAAACGAGTGATTTTGGTATACATTACAAGTTCATCCTCAATAACTATTATATTCATATGTTGTTATTGCACCTTACAAAATCTATTGCTATCGATAAAATATGACCATTGACAAACAATAATAACAAAGAAAAAATACCGATCAAAACACATTAACAAAACAAATCAACCCAACAAGAACACAAGATTCTTACAAGGCTTGACAGTTTGCGCCTACATCCTCATAGTCATACAAGAAGAATCAAAATCTTCAAAAATAAAACAATGTTCAAAGAAAAACAAAAAGAAGGAAAACACACTGCCTATAACATTTTAAGAGAAATCGTGCGTTTATGTTTTATTGGAACCAAATCAAATCAGAGACAGACACACTTCCTAGGCAGAAACCAAATGAATCGCTATATATGGGCTGAGTTGTGACCCCTCTAGGGAAAATTGGTAAGATAGCACTCTGGAGCAAAACCTTGACGGAATCGCTTTGTGTCTGTGCAATAATTGTAAATCATATAATTCTTTTGCACCCATTGAATCCTCCCTTGATCCGCATAATTAAGCGTCTTCCAGTACCATGCTCCTTTATTGGAGTTTGACTCGCAAGAAGAAGTACCATAAGACCATATGCAAGCATCGGCATTGAAGTTCGTGTAGGAGGCAGTGAAGGGCGATTGGCTCCAATCGATTTTTACAAGTCCACCTCTTGTGGCCCAGTTATCAGCATTCCAGAGACTGGAGTATAACCTCATAGCCTGGTTTTTGGGGAATGGAATACCGTACGACTCCTGGTTCTTGAACTGTCGAATTGGGAGGTCATCAACCAAGAATCTACATATACACACACGAGTATTTTATCACATAATTATAACAGGGCCCAATTAATTATTGATAAGATAGTCGATCAAGAATAATGCTGGAGATATCATATATGATTACTGACATCAGTTGATTATAATAATTATTGCACAGACACCTGGTAACATGTACTTAACAGTTTGATCATAATAATTTTTCTTTCAATAAATTAAAAAGTTTTCACTCGAAAAAAAATGTTGTACAATCTACTAGTCTATTATACATATTATAATCTCTTTTTCATTGGAGAGTGTTATGAAAAATTGCATCAGTAAAATATGATTAGAAAATTGAAAATAAATATAAAGGAGGAAAATTTGGACAATAATTGATGATAAGAGGACGTGTTCAGACCTTTTGGTCAGCTAGTATGCTAAAAAACCGTAGTTTATAAAACATTTTTTTTCTACATTATAGATGTTTACTTACACGATATTTTGGGGATTCCAGAGTATAGAATAGGTGTGGAAATCAGCAGTGGGGTCAAACCAAAGGTAGAATTGCTGTTCTCTGTTACCCTTGCCTTGGCAGAACACGTTAGTATGAAGAATGTAAGGCTTACCAGTAACGTTTCCCAAGAACTCAAAGTCTATCTCATCATGAGATGACCCAGTTGATGATAACTGAAACATATAATTACATCAGAATTTAATACATAAACTCTTGCATTATATGTATATATACATCGGGGTTAGGATTGGAGTATACTCATTTTTAACACACATTTTGACATACTTTGTAGGCTCACTCCTTAATGTATTTCAATAATCCAATCGTTCATTTTGTAAGTTTTTCTTGAAAGATCAAGTCTACCAAAAGTTACCCAAATCCGAAACCATATGATTACTGGATTAAATGGTAATTATTTTAGTGTTTCATTGCAGAAAAATATCTTAACAGTTTTGGGTTAATTTATCTATTTTTTTTAGCAAGGGATAATGTATGAATGATGAATTCAAACATACACGGTTCAAAGAAAAAAAAAAAAAACAAACACTAAAATGACTATTATTTAATCCTTTTTTGATTTGAGTAATTTGTGGTAGGCATAATCTTTAAGGGAATGTCTAAAATATAGACGGTTGAATCGTTGAAATGCATTACAATGTTGGCCCCACAAAATGTGTGTCAAAAATGGGTTAAGATCAGGAGATATCTATTTTTGACACACATTTTGACACCCATTTTGCAGAACCACTGAGTAATACATGTGTGTGTGTGTGTAATCCTAAATTTGAAAGTTATTTAGAAAAGACTAGGATTACTTTTGGAAAGAAGCACTTTTTTCGCCCGTAAAATCACTTAAATGTCGCTTTAAGTGATTTAATGGAAAACACCTCTCATTTGTTTCCCATAAAATTACTTGTATATAATATTTAACTTTCAGGAAACTTACATAGAATGTAGTGACAGTGCCAGCAGAGTTTCCAGGTACAAGCTTGATCTGTATATCAATCTTTGCATATAGATATTCATTGTATGACTCAAAAGCTGCGCCACTGACATTGTCGAGAGAGAGAGTAAGGAGGTCTCCATTGTTAAGCATTTTTGCATGATAATCCCCTCCCCATGTTATGTAGAAATCTTGGTAAAACTTGTCAGCAAAGGCAACCATGGAAGTGCTGATCATGAAAACGAAACCCAACAACACTGCTGAAACATTGGAAGAAGAATGAGCAGAAACCATTGCTTGAATTTTAATGGTTAATATTGCTAAATATGAACAAAAAGAGAAACTTAAGGAATGGTTATGGAAGACAGCTTATTTATAAGCGCGAAGATGAGTAACAATTAATATTATGGGACTTGTTCGTGGCTTGCATTTTATTCAAACACAGATGATCAAAAGTTGTCATTCATTGGTCGTCTATTATTTAAACATATACTCGTAAACCAAGTCAAAAGGGAAAGAATCTAAAAAACAAAATTACTGTTTGACTTGATTTAGAGGCTTGAACGTGGTGGCCACCCAGTTTATAGAGAAGCACCAACCACCATTTAACCAATTGTTCCACACTTGCTTAACGAACCATTGGTTTACAAGTGCATTGACCTTGCTAGTGCTTTGCTCGTCTTGAATTTGAGGGTTTATGCAATTTATGTACTTGATTTACGGATTTATATGATGCTTATAGTTTTACTTTACTTTGTACAAGCGGCCGTAAGATGAGTTCGACTCTCGTTCATTTTTTATAATAACAATAAATAAAACCCTTTGCTTATTTTACCTAAAGAGTTAATGTAACGTTTGGTTAGTAGGTTTTGTTTAAAATACGAAGAAAACGGATACATCTTTGCTTTATCGACTACAATGACTAATTTCACCCAAGACTGAAAACAAAAAAAACAGTGTCCCCTCCCTCCTATAAAACTGGGCTTGTTCTCAAAAGCCACTGATTTTCCACAAGCCATTTGAGACTTGACATTAGTGTACTTAATGCTATTATACTAAAACAATAATCAAGTTATTTATGGGGCAATCATGCACGGGGTCACCCAATTACTCAACCATGTATTATGTCCAATAAGGCACCGGGTCACCAAACTTTACCATTCTTTGGCTCAATAACGACGTGGATATATTTTTAATCTGAACCTCAGTTTTCATTTCTGTAAAAATAAGAAAAGCACATGGAGATTGGGGGAGTAAAGGAAGCCTCGTTAAAAATCTCCAGTGTAGTGGGATAAAAAAAGTACTTCACTAGATTGCTCCCCACTTACATTCAATTATCATTCTCCAAATCTACTTCCAAAAGAGGAACTTGATAGGAGCATATTTCTGCTATTTAGTTATGTTGCTTCCTTGCATTTATTTAGTTAATTACTACTTATTATAGTCTTTTAAGCTATTTTCGTATGTTTGTAGGTCCTAATGGCAAAAGGAGCAAGAAAGTGCATTTTGGAGCCATTTGGAGCAGTTTTGGGCATGGATTGGATAGGTTAACTATAGAGCAAAGTGGATGGACGAAATTGAAGTCAAGAGACGCTAGGAAATGCTACAAATATGGAGAAAGAAGTTCAAATACAAAGAAGATAAGGAAAGAGCAAGAAATAAGGAACATTATCCAACCTTATCTTATCCTATCCTAACCAACCTTATCCCATCCTATCTTATCTTATCCAATCAGTTTGTGCCTTAATTCTAGCTATTTAGAAGGGATTAGATATACATTTAAACACATAACTCAGATTCTAGAAGCCTAATCCTTTATGTGCCGCATATATGCCATTCCTTGAAGGTTTAGGAGTTGTAATCCCTCTCCTACAAAGGTGCCGCACCCCTTAGCCTAAGTTCTTCTAGAAATCTGCCCTTTATCCCTTCTAGAAGTCTAATTTCTGCCACAAAATACCTAGTTTCTAGAAGCCCTAATTTCTGGCGAAATTCCCTATCCCTTTCCCTTTGGTTTCTGCCAAACCTTAACCTTTTTCCCTTAGGATTGTGCAATCCTTTTCCTTCAGAAATTGTGCAAAACCTAGCCTATAAATTCAAGCTTATGCTGCACCATTTGATAGGAGCATATTTAGGCGACTTAGTTAGCTTGTTTTCTTACATTTATATTGTTAGTTCATAGTTATTTTTGTATTTTAACCTATTTTCGTGTGTTTGTAGGTCCATATGGCTAAAGTAGCAAGAAGGTGCATTTTGGAGCATTTTGGACCAAAATTGGACTTGGAATGGATAGCATATGCTTGGAGCGAAAGGAATGGACAAAATTGAAGACCTAAAGATGTTAGGATTCCTAATCAAAGAAGGTTTCCTACTTGAAGTAGGAAAGTTAAGCCAAGGTTTCCTATTTTGGTTTGACCTTTCCTAATCCTAAATGTCCTAAGTTCCAACAACATTGAAGGTCTCTTATGCATTCTAGGACACAAACTGAACTTTCTTTGCACCATTCTAGCCCTTGCCGTACCCCTTTCCCTTTCCTTATTCCTTGCCACACAAGGTAGCCTAAATCCTTACCTAATTTCAACCTTAAAACACATTCCTATTCCATTCTAAATCCTTGCCGTGCAAAGGGATTGTTTCTTCCCTATTTGTGTCCCAAGATCACATTCCTTCTTAATCCTAGTCAATGCCGCACCCTACATTCCTTTTCTCTCCTATTTTCTGGTTTTAATCTCTTTCCCTTTTCTTGCCGCATGTCACCTTCCTATTTCCTTTAATTTCTGATCTTACTTGCTTATTTTGAGGAGATTTTGACCCTCAATGCTCTTGGACAAAATAGCTAAGTCTCATTGATCTTTCCTAAGACTTTGCCGCACCCATAGAGACATTCTATTCATTCATAAAGGGAATTCAGTCATCATTGAGAGCTCTCACCACTCATAGCCACAACCTACATTCATTCTCCACCATCCCCATATTCATACCTTCAACCACACATCCATACACCATTCCTCTACTTTGCCGTAATCCCTTACCAACCCAAATCCATTCCTAACCCAGAAACACATCCAAACTAATCCCCAAAACCTTTGCGCCGTAGCCTAGCAAGGAAGAAGGAGAGGAGAAGAAGCCTTGGACTGTTTTTGCATTCAAGTTGGATTGTGGGAACGTTTTTAGGTGTAATCTATCTTTTGTTTTCATTGTTTAATTTAAGTTTTCTTTGTTTTGCTGTGAACATGAGAGGCTAAACTCGTTTTAGCTAGGGGAGGCTTTGAAACCATGATTATATTTGTGATATGAATTGATTAATTCCAGTTGTGATTTCATAAATTGTGAATGCAATTTACTTAACTGTTTGATTAAGAACTTATTCTTGTATGTTGATTAAGGAGGCCTACTTAGTTTGCATGCTTGAATTTGATGCTAGAATATAAGGGAGTTTCACATAATCGTTACAAACTTATCTTCACAAGTAGTTAAGGTTGTTTATCACAATCATGTTAAGTTAAATTCCTGGCATGAGTATCATGATGTCATAGTTACGAATAAGCTCAATACTTATGATTTTCATAGAACGTAATGATCTTTGATTGTATCTCTATTATGATGTCATGTAGGGAACTTTTGAAGACCGCTTTGGGTTTTCGAATGATGTCATCCAATCCAATAACTAAAGGAAAATCTGAGGGTTAATTAGTGATGTCACAGTTAATTGATGTGAAAATTAACTTGACACACAAATTAAACCCTATTTGTGACAATTGTAGTAGATATGTAAGTAGGGATTGTTCTAGACTGGGGATTAATGATGTGAAATATAATAGCACTCAAATTAAACCCTCTTTTTGACAATTGTAGTATATATATAAGTAGGCATCGTTCTAGGCCGGGGATTAGGAGGGATTGCTAATCTAATGAAAATTGACTCAAAGATGTGAAAATATGCTTTAAAACACTTTAAATGACCTCACAAGACTCTTACTAACTTATATGACCAAAAACAACTTTAAAGACTCAAAACAACTTAAAACAACCAAAAAGACTCAATTTAGACTCTAGGACTTAATTTGGACGAAAATACACTTGGTTTTGACTCTAAAGACTCAAAAAGACTCTTTTGGACAGATTTGGAACAAGTAAGAAAAGGGGTTTTGATTTTGGACGAATTTAAAAAAAAACAAGTAACTTAAAACTTTAAAACAGATTTTGGACGAATTTAAGAAAAACTAATGGATGATGGGATAGCCAAGGGATACTTCTCCACACATGATACTTTCTAACATAAATTGATTTCCAGTTGCTTTTCCGATAAACCATGAACCTCAACACCCCAGATTAACCGTGACATCACTAATTAACCCTCAGATTTCCCTTAAGTTAGTGGATTGGATGACATCATACGACAACCCAAAGCATTCTTCAAAACGTCCCCTACATGACATCATAATAGAGATACGGTCAAAGATCATTACGTTCAATGGAAATCATAAGTATTGACAAAGCACTTGTAACTATGACATCATGATACGCATGCTAGGAATTTACTTAACATGATTGTGAAAACAACCTTAACTACTTGTGAATATAAGTTTGTAACGATTATGTGAAACATTCTTATATTCTAGCCCCAAATTCAAGCATGCAAATTAAGTAGGCCTCCCTAATAAACATACAAGAATAAGTTATCCATCAAACGGTTAAGCAAATTGCGTTCATGACTTATGAAATCACAACTGGACTTAATCAACTCATATTATAAATGTAATCATGGCTTCAAAGCATCCCTAGGCTAAAACGAGTTTAGCCTCTCATGTTCATGACAAAACAAAGCAATATAGATTTAAACATTGAAAATAAAAGATAGATTACACCTAAAAACGTCCAACACTCCAACTTGAATGCACAAACGCCCAAGGCTTGGTCTTCCTTCTCCTCCTCCTTGCTAAGTCACGGCACAAGGTCTATGGTGGTGTTGTGGATGATTTTCTGGGTTTTGGATGGATTTAGGTATGTATGGTGGTGCGGCAAGGGATGATGGTGGTGTATGGAGGTTGGGATGGAGGTGTGGAAGTAGGGGAATGATGGATGGGTGGTTGCAAGATCACGGCAAAGGGTTGATTTTTGAAGGAATGTATGAATGTTGTGTGAAGGGGTGGTGGTCTAAATGGTGCGGCAAGGGCTGTTTATATAGGCTAGTTTGGCACACTTAGTGAAGGAAAAGGATTGCCTAATCCCATTGGAAAAAGGTTAACTCAAGGCAGAAATCAAGTGGGATTTGGGATAGGAATTTCGGCTAGGAA